TCCACCGTAGGGAGGTTTGGTGTAGCAGACCTTGGCTGCCATGAGGGCGGGTGGGAACGCGGTCGAAGACGCGTCTGCTGTGGTTCCCTGTTGAGCGACATAGTTATCACTGACGCAACGATGCCAGATTTAATATAAATTTCATGAAACTAAGATTGATGACACGGAGTCAGAAATTAAAAGTACATGTCACATGAAGACCGCAATGGGAAGAGGCCGCTAACGTAGACAGACGGGTGCGTTAATAGACTTCCAGGATATGTCAGTTGTAAGATAAATGAAAAATATCCTTGGTAAAACATGCTAAAAAGATGGAAATCGCTATGACAAAGTATTTTTAAGCGGCTGAGTAGTTTATTGTTTTAGCCACCCTAACCCTAATCTTCAGATATACATACTCGATCATCGTAAACAGCCAAGATATGGTGCATGTTCCTGTTCAAAAGCTGTGTGATACATGTTCGCTAAGATACATTTAAACTCACCCTACCAGTCGAAAAATTAGGCAGAGAGAGAGAGAGAGTGATTACGGTTTCGAGTTGCCATAAGCTTTAAATACGGAAATGTCTGGATATGCAAAAACGACAAAACATAAGTAGCACAGAACCTGGGCACGAGAATGAGAACGGGGTTGTCGAGGAACTGTTGCATCACCTCGCGACAGCCTGAGGTCCAGGTAGCCGACACGACTACCCGCTGGACGGCCGTCCGGCCTTGAAACTGTTCCAAACTGGCAAAAATGTCATCTCCAGTGCTCGATCGAGAGGCAGTTGGAAGACGCTTGCAGATCTGCTCAAGTTGGTCTCGCAGGCCCTGGTTTAACATCTCGTCAGCCTCATCAATGACAAAGATGCGCAAACCAGCAAGCTTTAGACATCCTTGTCGCAGCATCTCTAAAGGGTGCAGAAATAGATGATCGGGGTGGGGCGTTTTTTAAAAAGACAAGCATCTTGCAGACGAGGCTTCGCTGTAGATTTTTTTCTTTAAAGATTTTAAAAACGTCCAGACAGCAATTACCGTCTGTTGTTGAGAAATGAGTGCTCGCAAGTAAAACTTGGCACAGAGACCAAGTTATGAGATCTGCGATACCGCGACATTTCGACAACAATAGTTTTCGATGATGCCCACCATGTGCCTCACATAATAGTGAGCACGGGGACCGGAAATTACGCGTGGCGTGGTTTAAAGAGACAGCGGACTTGCGCAGCGCCTACCGCAATCTCTCTGTCATCACCCTTCGCTATCACGACAAAGTAAAGAAGACTGGATGAGCGATCGGACGCGGGTAGATGGCGCGGCATAAGCCTGATCCTAGACTTGCCACCCCACATTTGTTATGAGTGCGCATGTCCAATGAAGCCAGC